CCCCCACTCGCCCCGCCCCTCCACACACTCGGGCTCCTCCGCCCCGCCCCACCCCTCCGGCGCGGGTGGTCACTCGCTGGGAAAGGAAAGTGGGCGGAGCCGGACCCAGCCGAACTGCCCAATCGCAGCGAGGCACCGGTGCCAGCTTCCCTCTCTGCGCCCTCTTCCTCTGCTCTGCCGCTCTTCGCGGTCTCCCGCCCACTGGGCGCCGCTGCTGGCCGGGCCACTCAGTAAGCCTCCGATGGGGTAGAACGACGACTCGCAATCTGAAATTAACAGTTGAAGCTAAGGCAGCCATAACTGATAGTGGCAGCAAAAGTTTCCTGGCTTCCGGTCTCCGGTGTGACGTACATTTTTCCTTTTCTCAAAAAAAAAAAAAAACAACAAAAAACAAAAAACTCACGGTTACCCTGGGCAACGGCGAAGCGGACGAGGAAGGGACGCTTCTGTAGGTAGGCCCTGGGTGGGACCCTACGTGGCCACATATCCCATAGTAGGAGTGTTAATTCATACTCGGGACTACCGGTTTGTTTTCCTGGCCATTATTTTGCTGAGAAGACTGGTCACTTACCTAGGTGGACCACAGTTTCGGCCTCCAAAATTCCCTCTCCAGTCCGGAAGTTGCATTTGGCACTTCCGAGCAGGTCGCGCGGAGGGAGGAGAGCAGTCGCCGCCCCGCGCCCCGCGCCCCGCGCCCGGATCGGAGCCTCTAATCTGCCGGAGCGCAGCGCGAGGTGAGTGGCCTCGGGCCCCACGCGCTGGCCCAGCTTGGGCCGCTCGGGCCGGGGGGACAGCTCGGCGAGGAGCGCGGGGCCCGAGGCCGCTTCCGCTGGAAGGAGGTTTCCTTTCCGGCAGGCCGGGCGCTGGCCCGCCTGCCTCCGCCCCTCGGAGGCTCCCTGCGGGGCGAGGCGCTCGGCGGGCTGCCCGGGGCCAGCTGGAGCCGGCGGGGCCGGGAGGGCCCTAACGGGTGGGAGCGGACCGCGGGGCGGCCCCCCTAACTCCTGCAGACTGGAGCTCCGAACCCGCCTCGGCAAGTTCCCAAAAGTGCGGTGCTTTCGCTCCTGACCGCTGGAGAATTCCAGATCGGGAGAAAATCATTTTTCACCTCCAGCAGTATAACTAAAAGATGATCCCCCACCTCCGCGGCAAGACCGAAAGCCTGATTTTCCCATCCCCTGTGTTCACCTAATTTTTCCATCTTTTTCTTGTATGACCTTTCTTAGGTCTTTGTAAATCCTGAAGTTCTGAGTCAGGGTATGCTGTCCTAAGTACCTGCGGTTTATTAAACAGATTGATGCTTGTGCGCATTCGTAAAAGACCGAATTTTATGCTGCTCTTGACAAGATTATGACAGTATCTCATGTAGTTCTTTCTGTAGGTTTGAGTCAAGAACTTTCAGTCATCTTGATAATACCAGATTGGATGCCCAAAACTGCAAAGTGCAAGAGACAGAGAGCGGAACTTTAAGGTAAATCGTTTATACAGTTAACAAAAGTGCAAATCTTACCCTTTCTACCTAATTTCTTTATATTCCTTATTACTAGTAATCCAGCAAAAATGAACTGGTACGCATTTGTCCTGAGGTTAATCACTATGGTTTGTAGTCGCAATAACCTTTTGTGATTTAGCATCCATGATTCTGTTATCACTGGAGATGTTTCCCGATTCGCCCCAACAGGAAGCAGTTTCCTCCAAGCTTTTTGTATCTTTTTGACAATCACTTCTTCCGTGGCTGCTGCTTATTTTTATCTTCACTACGGTGTCTGTGCCCATATAGAATGGTTTGTATCAGATTTACCTGCCTGTGATTTCACAGTGAGTATAGGATAGTCCTGTCGCAAGTACTTACCTTCGGGGCTAGGGAGATGGTTCAGTAGAAGCTCTAGAGCCAGAGTTCAATCCCCCAGTTCCGCCAAAAAAAAAAAAAAAAAAAAGACTTACTGGAATATTCAATATACCGGGTGTTTCCTAGATGCCTAAGACACTGCCAGATAATTTTAGTGGATCTTCAGTTTATCTGAAATTTAGTATAGTCCTGCTAGTCAACTTTTTCTCAGATTTGTACTCTGAAGTCTTGCCACGTGGTTTTTCCCCACGTTTTATCATTAAAATGTTAATGCATTAAAAAGCTAAAAGAATACAACAGTCTTATACCCTAATCTTATATCCAACAGTTGTTAAAACATTTTGTAACATTTATTTTATCCCTCTCTACGTTTTTATTTTTAACTGAACCATTTGGAAATAGGTTACAGGGTCAGGCAGACATCTCTATGACTTCTAACATGAATTTACTAAGATTTTTGAAGCAGTTCTGCAAAACACTATTATTACAGTTAAAAAAATTGATAATTCTGTAATACTTAAAACACAGTCCTTGTGCAGATTTCCCTAAATGACTCAAGAATGTTGTTTATGTTCTCTCCTATCTCATATCGCCCAAATCAGAATCTAGTCAAGATTTAGTATTGTATTTAGGTGCTGTACCTCTTTAGCCTTAATCTAGAACTGTCCCCATCTTTTTCCCCCATGACATTGGCATTTTGAAGAATTTTTAAGCTAATGTAGCTTTGAAAAAAGCCTCCGCCCCCCCCCCATTTTTTCTATTAACCAGTAGTTTAAGAACCTAACCAGGCATGGTGGAGCATACCTGTAATCCCAGCACTCCAGAAATTGACACAGGAGGATCACGTTGAGTTTGAGACCAGCCTGGGGGCCTACAAAAGTGAACACAAGCCTGGCCCAAACTGCACAAGACCCTGTCTGGAGAAAAAAAAAAAAACAACAACAAAAAAAAACTTTTAAGTGTAACATTTTTTGGAGGAATACTTTTCCAATCATGATTAAGCCTTGTGAAATGCAGCTTATACCCTGATTTGCTTGTCCCACTTAGCACATGAAGTTTAGCATTTGTCTTGGGAGTGGACTACATATGTTAGTGTCCTCAGCTCGCAACCTGAGCTGCCTACCTTTAATAAAGTGTTGCTATTTTGCTTTCAGTTGAAGCTGATGCAATGAAGTCTGTATTAAAGTGTACTGATGTCAGCATAGTTTCATGAGTTTTAGCTCCTGGCACCCTGCAGTTTGTTGAGGAAAGGTGTGTGGGCCCTGCAATTGAAATACCCATGACTCTTGTTATTAAAGCGTATACCTAGGTAACTGTTACCCATCTGGCCACAATTCAAGTTTTGGTTTTTTTTTTCCTCTCCCTGAAATTGTCTCCTAAGTTCCAGTTGGTTCTTGTATTTCTCTGATAGTTTTTGGTAGCATTAAACAATTAAAAATTGCAAAATCTAGATTATACTTAACACATAGGTCATAAGCAACAGTCTCTAACCAACGGATAGGGAAGTTTTTGGGAGATTTACTTCATGATCAGAAGAGGAAAACTCCTGAGACCAAGCTTATGTATTCCTCCTACAATAGACATTTCATTATAAATGATAAGTGAAGAAAGAAAATGCATTTAACGAAACAAAAGAAAATGGTCGTGGAGTGAAAAATTGGTTAAAAATTTTTCCTGATTTCTAGGGAGCTTTAGAAAAATCTGTATTTTTTTTTTAAATAGACCAACAGATTTTGATATTTTTAGCATCATATGGAAAGTTACTTAATGTGCTCTTTATCGCTTGCTTGCTTGCTTGCTTTTTTTTTTTTTTTCCCCCAGAACCCGGGATTGAACTCAGGCCCTTGCGCTTGCCAGGGAAGCGCTTATTCCACTGAGCCATCTCCCCGCCCCTATCACTTGCTTTCTTAGAGTAGAAAGAAATTTGTTCATGGGAGACTATACAACTTTGCTTTGCTCTTTGAGATAGGGTCACTATTGTGCTTAAGCTGCTTTTGAACTCCTATGTTCAAATTCAGCAATCTCATCTTCTCAGGTATCTGGGATTATATTTACCACTGTACCTGCCTAAATAAACATTCATCGAGGGGCTGGGGAGATAGCTTAGCGGCCTAAGTACCTGCCTAGCAAGCACAAGAACTTGGGTTCGATCCCTGTTACCACATTTCAGCCACTGAAACGGGGCATGGTGGCCTGTACCTGTAATCCCAGCACTGGCGAGGCTGAGAGAGGAGGATCACTGTGAGTCTGACCTGTGTAGCAAGACCCTCTACCAGATAAATAAATAAGTAAATAAATTTTTAAAATATTAAAAAATACTAATTCACTAACTTTAAAGAAGGTGAAATAACATACCAATTAAGATTAGGCTTAAAGACAAAAATAGAAGACAGACTACTGTACTATTAGACAAGAAGAAAGGAAAAGCAGGGAATAAGAAATGGAAGGTGAATATCAAAATATATTGAAACTTAATTTTTTTTTAAAAGTTAATGAGCCTCTAAAAAATTGCTAAAACAAAAATACAGGTTTTAGAATCATGCCAGGGTTTCAGGAATAGTACATTTACTAGCTGGGTGATCTTGAACTGTACACTCATTCTCTATTAAAAGCATCCGTAAAACTTCCCAAGATTTTGAACAGAATTAATTCTAACATATGTGAAGTGCTTGGTTTATTTCTAGCACATGGGATGTGATCAAAATAAGGTTATCAGTAATAATTTCTGAGGCAGTCAAATTTGGGCACATTGTAGGCATTAAGTATTTTAATGAATGAATGTAAGAAAATTCTCCACACTTATTGTGGAGAATTTAAAGATTTCTTTCCTTTTTTTTTTTTTTTTTTTTTTTGGTGGTTGTTGTTGTTGTTGTGCCAGCAATTCAATTTAGGACCTTGTGCTCAGCAGGCAGGCTCTATGCCAATGAGCTATATTCCCAACCCTGAACCTAAAGATTCTGATTCAGTGTTTTGCTATTTAGAGGGCTTTAGGAAAATTTGTATTTTTAGTAATAGCCAATGATTTTTGATGCAGGTAATTGAGAACCAGACTTTGAGGAGTATCTAAGATATCCAACAATTCTCTTTCCTCGTGTATGTGAGAATAGCTAATTAAATATATCAGGTGTAAAGCAAATACTTCTAAAAGCTAATAAACATAATTATTAAGACCACTGTCTATGGGCTGGGGAGATAGCTCAGTAAAATAAGCGTTTGCATGGGGTCCTGAGTTCAATGCCCGGTACCACAAAAAAAATAAAAAGAATTTTAAAAAGCCACTATCTAATATTTAAGTTTTGAAATAGAGGTTCGGAAAAAGGCATTTTGGCTAAGTAGGATGCTAATAATAAAGTCTGCTACCACAGTATACCAAAGCCAACAACATCATCAAAATCCACCCAAGTACAGCTCCTGTTATAAGGCCGAGGCCCATTTCAGAAACTAGACCCTGCACATTTTATTCACATGAGTCTGAATTAATTAGCCAAATTGAGCATGTTGCAGCATTCTTCTACCAGCAGATGCCAGATAGCAAAGCAGAATAGAATCTACTGTAGTCTCTAACTGTATGGCATATGTTAGTTGGCATCTCCAGATGAACACTATCAATCCATATTAAGCACCCTGCTAGCATGTAGGCAGTTGCATGAGTGAGTGAAAATTACTATTTAGTGTCTGTTGAAAAGCACATTCTTTCTGGATCCCCATTTCACTTTTTTCTTATATTTCAGAATCTGTTTTTGAAATTTCATCTTTCAGTCAACCTCAAGACTTAGATATATTTTCTGTTAGCAGTTATTTAGCCCACTCTTGGAAAAGCCACTCAGCCTGCACCAAAGGAGCTAACTTAACAAGTATTCTCAAAAGAAAGGCATCTTTTGCTATCTGTTACGTAAATAGGATTGTTCCTGGTGCCGTAATTACTAGGAACTGTAATTTTATTTCTCAGTGCCCACCAGGCCAGGCATATGCTTCCAGCTCCAGCTCCTTGGGAGCCTGACATAGGACGACCATGTAAGCTAAGGAGTTGGAGACTGGCCTAGACAGCCATAGCCAGACTCAAGAAAAAGTAATTACAAGGGTCTTACCTGCTAGGCAGGTAAAGGGAAACAACATACAGTAGTGAAGGATAAAGATTTTTAGAGCACATGCTTTCCTAACTGGAGCATCATTTCCCAGCCTTACCTGTATTTTGCCATGTGGGAATGTATATATTTGGTATGGAGGTAAAAATTCAGATTTTACATGAAATTGCCAAACTTTTAAATATTGACTCAAATACCTTTTAAACATCTAGGGAGCCGGTAAAACATTTAACTGGCTAGGACCATGGCCACCAGTTTATGATCTCTGTATTTTTATATGAAAACATGTTTGGCACTGTGGTTGAGAATCTCAAAATGCATTAGAGGGCCGGGGAGATAGCTCAGTAGAATAAGCACCTCCTGGCAGGCACAAGGTCCTGAGTTCAGTCCCCAGTACCACACACACACAGTTCAGAATGCATTAGAAGTCTTTTTTTCTCATAATTCCAGGGCTGTACTTGTCTAGGCTAAACAAAAACAACAAAAAAGGCATTCAGAATTTTTCAGTCTTGAGTTCTACTATGAAATAGATTTGCC